CAAGCATGCACATATGCAAAATTTCTCAGACTGGAAAGAAAAGAGCCCTAGTGGTGAGATGGTTGCTTGCTAACCCAAAGGCTGCCAATTTGAACTCATCAGCTGAGGCACTGTGCTTTCATGAAGCTTTAAAGCCTTGGAAACCCCATGGGATAGCTCTACTCAGTCCTATAAAATCACTGTATATGAATTCTAATCCAGGAGTCCTGCTGTGGTATGTGGGTTAAAGCACTGGACTGCAAGGGCGATTTGAACAGCATTGTCTGCAGGTCAAGTTCACCAGTTGCTCCTAGGAAACCCTATTGTTGTTGTTGTTGTTAGGTACCATCGAGTTGGTACTGACTCATAGCGACCTTATGCACAACAGAATGAAACACTGCCCGATCCTGGGCCAACCTCACTACTGTTGCCACGCTTGAGTCCATCGATGCTGCCACTTGGCCAATCCATCTCGTTGGGGGTCTTCCTCTTTTTCTCTGCCCTCCACTTTAGCAAACATGATATTCTTCTCCAGTGACTGCTCCCTCCTGACAATATGTCCGAAGTATGAGAGATGAAGTTTGGCCGTCTTGGCCTCCAAGGAATACTCTGGCTGCACTTCTTCCAAAACGGATCTATTGGTTCTTTTGGCAGCCCATGGTACTTTCAATATTCTCCTTCAACACCATAACTCAAAAACATCAATTATTCTACAGTCTTCCTTATTCATTGTCCAGCTTTTGCATGCATATGAGGTTATTGAAAATACCATGGCTTGGGTCAGGTGCATGTTAGTCCTCAAGCTGACATCTTTGCTCTTCAACACTTTAAAAAGGTCTTGTGCAGCCGAACCTTCCAGAGGTTCAAGCTGGATTCACAAGAGGCCATGGAATGAGGGATATCATTACTGATGTCCAATGGATCTTGGCTGAAAGCAGACTATCAGAAAGATGTTTACCTATGCTTTATTCTCTACTCAAAGGTTTTCAATTCTGTGGATCATAACAAGCTATGGACAACATTGTGAAGTATTAGTATTCCAGAACACTTAATTGTGCTCATGAGAAATCTGTACATGGACCAAGATGCAGTTGTTTGAACAGAACATGGGAACACTAAATGGTTTAAAATTAAGGAAACAGAGTCACTATGAGTTGGAATCGACTGACAGCACTTTACAACAATCTACAGCAGCAACATGGATTTCCTTTTCCAGAGGTAGCATGTGTAACAAGGAGAACTGACTTTGGTGACAGAAAGACTTGGATGTACCAGTGTTTTTGAATCTCTGATGCATTTCTAAAATAGTGATTATAAAACCTGCCTCATAGGATTGTGGTGAAGTTTAGAAACAACATCAAACCTAGTGCTTGAACAGAGTAACAATTAATAGCAATAATAGAATCTCATTTAAAAATCTTATATTTAGAACTAAAATTTAATAGGCTCATTATCATGGTTGCTGAACAGAGTTACACTGGTTCAAAATGCCTTTCAAGCCATCGCCAGGCTTGATAAAACCTAACAGCTATCGGAAACAATCAAGAAACAGTTTCCATAGCAACATTCTAGTTCCGCCACTGAGCTTGCTAGAATGATGCTGGGAATTGTAGTGCGTAGAGGCTGCCCATCACAACGAGGGGGTGGGGCAGCTTCCAGAAAGTGTATTACAGTTTTCATTCCTACCTCCACAACCACCCATATTTCTGTTATACTTCTTGGTTCTAAACCAAAAATTAAACCCTCTGTCCTGGGTACTCCGTTTCATGCTCGCCTGTTATAGATGAAGGCAGCAGAACGAAAAACATGCGTTGTCTGTGGTGGGGCCGGAAACGAAGCTGGAGGAGCAGGAAAAGGCGGGGCTCCTTCCAAGATCCCGTAGGTTCCGCCTTGTTACGTCATTTCCGTAAACAAAGGGGGTTGCGGAAGCGCGGGGGGCGGGATGTGAACTCCACTGAAGCTGCAGCTGTAGCGGCTCAAGCTGCGGCTGCGGCTGCGGCAGTGATTGCAGAGGCTCCGAAGTCTTTAAAGATTGGGGACTCTGATCCCCTTGTTCCTCAGGTATGAAGTGGAACCAAAGGGATCCGCCGCCACTGTCCTTTTAAGTCCCTCTCATATATTTGCTCCTTGCCGGGTTCTGCGGACCGAAGGTCGCTTTGTCCGCTGGTTAGGGGCTGGGAGTGAGTGAAGTCTGGAGGGACCCCCAGTGGATCCGCTCAGAGACTGCGGGTTCCTGATACTTAGAACAATGTGTAAGTAACTACGCGAAGTTCTTAGGGCTTCTCTAATAGGTTCCTTGTTGCGTGATCTACAAAAGGATTTCTTGTCGCAGAGATGTTACCTTCCCAAACCGGATAGCTTTCAATCCCTGAACCCTTAGAAAGTATTAGTTTAGTCCCCTGGAGGTTATTTGAATCCCTAAAGGAGGTCTGGTAGCGTAGTGGTTACGAATCGGGCTGCGAACCGCAAGGTTAGTAGTTCGAAACTACCAGTTGTTCGCGGGAGAAAGATGAGGCTTTCTGCCCCGTAAAGATTTATTTACAGCCTTGGAAACCCTGTACAGGGTGGCTATGGGATGGAATCGACTAGACGACACTTAACAACAACAGCTTCACAGTTGTTACTGTAGTTGTTTTTCTTCTTGTTTTTGACTTGTAGGACAGTGTGTTTGTGTAAACTGTGAATGAATCTATACAGATTTCTGCCGCTTTGGAGGACTGATATCCCATCTTTATTCATGCTTGTTTTAAAGCTGCATTTTAATTCGTGTTGCTTGTTGACCCATAATTGCAATGACTGTTTTGTAACTAAAATGTTTCTAAAGTAAAAATCTTGAGCCAAGGTCTTAAATGGATTTACAGTTGGTGCCCTGGTGTGGCATAGTAGGATAATGCACTGCCAGGTCAGCGATTCAAACTCATTAGCTGCTCTTCGGAAACCCTATATAGGGTCTCTATGAGTCGGAACGGACTCGATAGCACTCAGCAATAGCAACATCTCGTATTGAGCTCTTCCTTTAAATCCTTTTGTTCTTTGTTGGTCTGGCTCCAGTTATGATTGTCCATAAAGTCATTTCAGTACTTCTTGTTGCTGTTAGGTGCCATCGAGTCGTTACTGACCCACAGCGACTTTATGCACAGCAGAACAAAACCCTGCCTCACCACTGTTGCCACGCTTGAGGCCATCGATGCTGCTACTTGGCCAATCCGTCTCATTAGGGGAGTCTTCCTCTTTTTCTCTGACCCTCCACCTTACCAAACATGATATCCTTCTCCAGTGACTGGTCCCTCCTGGCAACATGTCTGAAGTAGGAGAGACGAAGTTTGGTCATCTTGGCCTCCAAGGAGCACTCTGGCTGCGCTTCCAAAACGGATCTATTGGTTCTTTTGGCAGCCCATGGCACTTTCAATATTCTCCTCCGACACCATAACTCAAAAGCATCAGTTCTTCTACGGTCTTCCTTATTCACTGTCCAGCTTTCGCATGTATATGAGGTTATTGAAAATACCATGGCTTGGGTCAGGGGCATGTTAGTCCTCAAGCTGAAATCTTTGTTCTTCAACACTTTAAAAGGGTCTTGTGTAGCAGATTTGCCTAGTGCAATACGTTGTTTGATTTCTTGGCTGCTACTTCCTTGAGTGTCGATAGTTGATCCAAGAAGAATGAAGTCCTTGACAACTTCAATCTTTTCTCCATTGATACGAATGTTGTTTATTGGTCCGGTGGTGAGGATTTTTGTTTACTTTAGTGACTTCAGATTCAGACAATATCAAAAACCTCTGTCTTAATTCAAATTCTCAAGGCATTATTCTAGGAAGGACATGAATTGGTTTGAATCTGTATTATTAATTATGATTAAACTGAACACAATATGCAAAAAAGGCCAGTGTTCCCAAGGCAGCTACCAATCATATGAGTTAAGCAGCCCAATAAAGTTTTCATTAGACAGTGAAAAAAAGAAGACCCTTAACGAGATGGATTAACACAGTAATTGCAACAATGGATTCAAATATAACAGAATTTATGAGGATGACACAGGACCAGACAGTGTTTCATTCTGTTGTACATGAAGTCACTAGAGTTGAAACCAGCTCAACAGCACCTAACAACAACTTCAACACATATTCTCCCTGAAAAGGCCACCAGCAACTTGGTAGTAAACGTTTTTTTTGCTATGGGAAAAACCAAGCACCTATAACAAACTTTCATGTTTACTTGGCTATAAGTAGAGAAAGTATTTATATAGACATAAAACAAATTGTACAAAACTTCATGTGATCACAAAGAATGAAATAGGCAAAACCCAAGTTTCTGGTTGGAGGTTGAGATAAGATTTGGACTTGCTGTTTAAAAATGTAGATACCCTTGTCAGCTATACATTTATTTAACTCTAGTTGGTTATTCCTAAATATATATTTAATAAGGTAGACCTAAAGGGTACCTAAAGCTTGAGGCAGACTGGGACTATCACATGGGTGATTTGTGATTGTTTTTTGTTCCTTTACTATAACCTAGACTTCTTGAGGACAGGGACTTGTCTTTTTCAGTGCTGTCTCTCCAGTGCCTAGAATAGTGCCTAACATGGAAGAGTCAACACGTATTTGTAGAATAAGTGAATAAAGAAAATGGTTTAAAAAAAATTGTCATACAATTTCCTAAAGGCTTCTATATACATAAAGACTCTGCTGGTACAGGGGGTTAAGCGTTGGCTTGCTAACCCATTGGTCTGTGATTCAAACCCACAAGCCAGTCTGTGGGAGAAAGATGAGTCCATTTGCTTCCATTAGGACTGACAGTCTCAGAAACTCTCTGGCGCGCTTCTACTCTGCCCTGCAGGCTGTTCAGTCAGAACTGAGATGATGGCAGTTGGGTGTCTAGTACCTTGGAAACGAAATTAAATGGCTGGATGCTCTTTAATGACTTCTGAAGTTCTTGATTTTCTTTGAGCTTATATGATCTTTGAACCACTTTCATTCTGGCATATATATATGTAACTGCTATATTTCTTTTCTTAGGTCTCAAGAAGCTGGTCGTGGTGCAATCAGGAACTTCCAACAATGGAAGAGCGGAAAATGAAGAGGAGGAGCCCTAAGTCTTTTAATGCCCATTCTACTCAGGTTGTTAATGCCAAAAAAAATGCCATTCCACTTAGTAAAAGCACTGGGCTTTCAAACCCTGCAACACAGTCAACTTCACAGCGACCAAAGTTAAAAAGGTGAGTTATTTTATTTCATATTACCATGTTGTGTTATTGTAAAGTGCCCTCGAGTCGATTCCAACCCATAGCAACCCATAGGAGCAGCTGGTGAGCTTGAACCACCAACCTTGCAGTTCACACGGCTTTGCCTACAGCGCCACATCAGGTTCCCTCATATTACCATTAGCAGGATGTTACTGAAGTACATACTCAAGCCACTTCTTACAATGTTGTCTCTTTTGGCTGGACTTTTAAAAAAACATTTAAGGTACTGGTTTATTAAATAATGCAAAACCTTTCTTCGCATAAAATCTTCAAATTTGAAACAAAATAATGTATTATTGCTTGACCGAAACCTTGTAGTCCTGGTGTGGACTGCTAACCACAAGGTTGGTGGTTCAAACCCAACAGCTACTCCTAGGAAACCCTATACAGGGTTGGTATGAGTTGAAACGAACTCAGTGGCGCTTAACAACATCGTACTGAAACCTTATATTTTAGAGTAGTTTGTCTCAGATTTTATTATGCATGTGAGTCTCTTGTGGATTTTTTTTTTAACAATTGTCGATCTAGTTAGTCTTCAGTGGGGCTTCAGCTCAGCATTTCCAGTAAGCACACAGCTGATGATGATGCTTGAGCTCCTATATAGCAAGTGCTTTTGAGTAGCAAGGTACTAGGTGATGTGGTTTATTATCGCACATGTAAAATACTGGGCTTGCTTTGTGAAAAGTTGTTGCTGATCTGTTTACGGTGGTGTTGTTAGTGCCACTGATTTGGCTCCCACTGACAGTGACCCTGTACGGGGTTTCCGAAACTGGAAATCTTTGTGGGAGCAGAAAGCCTCATCTTTCTTCCATGGAGTAGCCGGTGAGCTGGAACCGCTGATCTTGTGGCTCACAACCCAGTGCTTATCCTACAGAGCCCCTGCACCCCCATAGTAATAGCCAGTGTGTTCTAAATTGCTTTCTTGTTAAGAGTGTTCATTTTTCTTGTGCCTATCTCCCCCCCATGTACCCTATTTGTCTTATCCTTATTGTGGAGAGCGTAGCTGTGGGAAAGATGTCTTCATTTAACATCGCAGAAAAACTGAATAATGAATGCCATATTTTTATGCAAATAATGTGTGTTAGGTGTTTTTTTGTAAACTGTGAAACCCTTTGCCTGCTGGTTTCCTATGAGTGCTCTGTGCGTTCTATGTATGAGTGTGCTCTATGTGAAAAATACAGTATATGTCAGAAACTGTATAGTACACATTGGTTCTAGCCTTGCTAACTCATTTTATTCTCTAAATCAAAATTTATGATATCATTCACAGGCCATGCAAAATTATCAACTTCACAATTAGCCTTCTAAATTTGGCCAAACATTTAATGAATTCACCCTTAATGTAATGGCTGGAACTGCAGTTGCCTTGGCAGGGCAATACCTCATGACTCTTGGTCCCCAGCCTTGCTCTCACCCTTCACTCACATATGACTTTCAGGAAGGGCGTTGTGACTGCTCCTAGACTGGACCAGCTGCCCTTTCTCTCCACTCCTCTACGGCAGTGTGTGGGGCACCATCACTTAAGTATTTGAGAGCTTGGTACATACAGATGTGTGTATAAGACGGAATCGAGCTCAGGGTTGGTCCAGTGGGTTACAGAAGGCTTTCCAAGGGAAGTAACATTGAAACAGAGGTGTATGGGAGGTAACCAGGCCAAGATGACCCTGAAGGAAAGGATGCTTATGTTGGCAGAGGATTAATTAGCATGTAAGAAGGTAAAACAAGGCCTACCTAGGAAGGGAAAGAGAGTGACTAGAGCATAGAAAGACAAGACAGGAAGGGTTCTTAAGGGCATTGACCTTTATGCATCAGGCAGTGCAAAAAACAACTGCAGGGTTTTATTTAGGTGAGTCATATGATCTGATGATACTTTTAAAAAAATGAACTTGGCTGCTCTGGAGGGAATGGGTTGGGGAGAGAAAAGAAATCACAACACACAGAGGTAGGGAGACCCTTTCAGGTGGGAAGCTGTGAGTAGTTTGGTAGCAGTGGAAATGGAGAAGATGAAGGAGAGGAAGATGAACAGAACATCATGACTGCATGTGGGACCATAGGCAGTTGAGGAGCCAAGGATGATTTCAGAGCTTTGACAGTCTGTCATCTGGTGCTTATGGACTTCCACCTGAGACGGAGAATCACACTTGTTAAGGAACAAGTAGGATGAAGTTTACAAGAGGAATGTGTAAGATGAAATATGAAACAAAATAGTAAAATGTCTGAATCAAGTCTCTTCTTCAAGTGTTTTCAGTCCAAAGAACTAGTAAGGTGTTTAAATGCACAATTCTAACTTTCTGTATGCCTTAGCAGTTCATACACTCATCTGAGATGCTCAACAGCCTATTCGTTTGGTTTCTGACTTGATGGTATTGGTTTTGTTCAGTATTGTCTTCATTCCTGATTTCTTGTTTTTAAGTGAACTTCCACTTCATCTGCTAGTTTTGTTTAATCTAGACCATTCTGGAAGGATATAATTAATAAGTTAATTACATCATCTTTGCAGAGTGATGAAAGAAAAGGCCAAACCTCAGAGTGGAGAAGGGAAAGGCGCTCAGTCCACCCCAATTCAGCACTCCTTCCTCACTGATGTTTCCGATGTGCAAGAGATGGAAAGAGGCCTCCTGAGCCTTTTGAATGACTTCCACTCTGGGAAACTTCAAGCATTTGGTAAGTAACAGACTTTTTTCTCTTTACTATTTCTCTTTTCCAAGATGTCTGCATTCTATTTTCAGTCTTTTATATTTGTGCATTTTAGTATTCCTCTTAATCTTTTTATTGTAAATTGAGTTAAGATTTACAGACAAGACCATCAGTTTCACATTCAACAAATCATACACTATCACTATATACCACTATCGCCTTTAACCTTTGCATACCTCCCTATCTTCACCTGTCTTCATTATTCTGGCAGCCTCCACCTTCTTGTATAGTAGCCTCCTCGTTAGCCCCCTTAACATGTGTCTCCTCTCTAGCTAGTGAATTATTCTGCCTTTATTTAAAAAAAAATAATAATAATCCACAGAAAGAATGCAGTAATCTTGGAATTTGTCATGAAAAATAAGTTGTCTTCTAAAATTTTAGGAAATAGTATATTTTTTTTTTTGAAGGGCGAGGTAGTTGAAGTGTTCGGTAGTTATTATTAGGTGCCCAAGTTGGTTCTGACTCTAGTGGACTGTGTACAGCTGAGCAAAGCACTGCCTAGGTCTGCATCCTCCTCACAGTGCATTTTATTGTTAGTCACTGTGTCAGACCGTCTTGTTGAGGAGCTGCCTCTTTTTTGCTGGCCCTCCATCACCTCTGATGCATTTCTCCAGGACTATGTCCTGAAAACATGTCCAAAGGATGTGAGATGGCATCTTGCCATCCTCATTCCCAAGGAGACTTCTGGTTGTACGTCATCCAGCAGAGTGGTCTGTTTTTCTGGCAGTACTTGGTATGATTAATATTCTACACCAACACTATAATTTAAATGCATCAGTTTTCCTTTGGTCTTTATTCATTGTGCAGCTTTTTCACACGTATGATGTGACTAAAATACCATGGCTTACTTTTGCTTTTTAACACTTTAGGAGAGGTCTTTTGCATCAGATTTGCCTAATGCAATATGTTTTTGTTTTTTTTTTCTAACTTCTATTTGCATGGAAGTTGATTGTGGATCCCAGTAAAATGAACTATTCCAGTAAAACTCAGTATTTCTGTTTCTCATGATGTTACTTATTGATTGGACTGTGAGGATTTTTGTTTCCTTTATGAAGTATAATTCACACTGAAACCTGTAGTCTTTGATTTTCATCACTAAGGCTTCAGATCTTCACGTTTTGATTTAAGGTTGTGTTGTCTGCATTCCGCAGGGTGTTGATGAGTCTCCCTCCAATCCTGACTTGTTTTCCTCCAGTTGTCGAGCTTCTCAGGTTGTTTGCTCAGCATACAGATTGAACAAGGATGGTGAAAGGACACAACCCTGACACACCCCTTTCTGGATTTTAAACCATGCAGTATCCCCTTGTTCTGTTTAAACAGTCATCTGTTGGTCTACGTATAGGTTCTGCATGAACACAAATGTTCTGGAATACCTGTTCTTCTCAATGTTATCAAGAGTTTGTTATGATCCACATAGTCTAATGCCTTTGCATAGTATTTTTTTTTTTTTAAAGTTTTGTGAATTAAGTGATAGTTTACATGGGAGAACACCAGCTTTACATTCATCCTATTGTATTTTGTTTCATTGCCACTGTTACAATCCCCTCCATGCATCATCACACAACCAAAGGGTACACCCCACAAGCCTGTTGCCTCCCCCTCTTCCCCCCAGCCATCAGCACACAGACTTCTCCCTCCCTGCGCCCAGAGTCCCCAGCCACTCTATCTTTCCATGTCATCGTCTCTGCCTCCATTTCTGGCATCACTGATTCTCTGGGCAGGGTCCTGCACTCCGCTCTTCTCTCTTGATGGCCCCAGGGACCTCCACTCCTAGACTACAAAGTCAACCACTCCCCTCCTTTTGCTACAAAATGCCTACCTTTACATTTCCAACCCTCACAGTCAGTCCTGATAACAATCATTCACTAGTGCGCTGCAAGAGTCTTATCCCCATATCCTTTCATCAGCCCTGTCCCAACAGATTGGAAACCACTCAGTGGAGATTTACCTTCCCCTGCCTCTTCTGGAACTGGGTTCCCTCTTGAAAGCGTGTAAGCCAGTCACTTCTTGACTTTGTAGGCCCCCATTTTGGGTAGCCAATGTCTAAGTTGCCAATCCCTTGTCAACCCTGTGTACCGAGGGGGTAGGAATGAGCCTCGCTGTAAAGATTAGTTCCCTCTTTTAAGCTAGTACATCTATAAGTATAGGTCAAGTTCACCAGATTGTAGTGGATTACTCTTTTTTTTTACCTCTTCTTTCTTGTCGTCGACTTCTGATCAGCCATTGAAGTCAGGTCAGGTGCGTACTATCTGCAAGTATGAGTGTTCTTGTGCATTTTCCCTCGCTTCATATCAACTGGACACTTCACTCTTCGCTCTAGTCCTCTGTTGCCATGTCACTGTCTCTAGGTCCAGGAGTCCCCGGGCCTTGCCATACTGCTGGCCATTCAGGTCTCAACCCAGGTTCACAGGAGTCTATTGAACGAGGCCAGACTTAGCTCACACTTCATTGCTGTTTTCCCCCATTCCCCTTATCGGAGACCAATGTGGTCACCAGCCAGACCACATGCCTGCTTGTGTATCCCCTCAAGTCTTAGTCCTGGAAAGGGGTTTGCTCTGAGGGGACCTGACCACTTGCCTTGATGGCTCCCAGTTGAACAGCTTGCTTGTTCTTGTAGTAATCAATCAGACTATTGTTACTGTTTTTGATTTTTCCTACCAGTCTTTCACAAAGTATCTTCTATTCTTCTAGCGGCTCCAAGCTGGTCTACTTGTCCTTCCAAATGGAAATTTCCCACCTCAGAAGATTGTGTATAGGGTTCAGGATTCCACCTTTGGTCTTATTTTGCATAATATTCTACAAGTATAACAGATAAAAAACATATTTTCTCATTAAAATATTTTTGACTTAGTGTCATAGTTTTGAAAGTTTCCAAAATAATTTTCTGTGACTTTTTAAAACCATTTCCTATCCTGGATTCCTAACTTGTGATTTTTAAAAAAAAGTCATTTTTCTTGCATTTTTCATGAAGATACATGAAAATAAGCATGATTAACAGGTTGTCTCAATAAAAACTCTGAATAGGTATTTTCCATATCCACTGAGTTCACAAAGCATGCTCAAATTTTCATGTTCAGTTTGTAACACTTTATAGGTTCTTTCTGATTATGAAAACATTCTGCAGTATCTTTTTAAAGGGAGTGTGGTGGCTCTATAGGATAAGCATTGGACTGTAGACCACCTGTTCCAGCGGTTTGAGCCCATCAGCCATACTGTGGGAGAAAAATTATTCTCTCTGCTCCCACAAAGATTTACAGCCTCTGAAATCCTATATAGAATCTGAGATGAGAAGAGGGGAGGGAGGGGAAGAAAGAGCACAGGGTAGGGGATAGATATAAGAGAGCCAGGGTGCTGGGGGGCGGGAGGGCTGGCAATACACAAGAAGGGGGAGGGGGGGGGGAAAGAAAAAAATAAATCCTATATAGGATCACTATGAATTAGTCAGAACTGCTTGACAACACTTAACAACAACTATTTTTTTAAAGCCATCTAAAAAGTACATGTACACTTGCACACATGCATATAAACCATGAACAAACACATTGACTTTACATGCTGTTTTTCTGTCCTTCCCTTTTTGTTCCTTAACTTGTCTATCTCCCTTCCTTACCCCTCCACTGTCTCCATCCCCCTCACCACAGCCAGCTATCAGATAGATACCCTTTGTTGGTTTTATACAAGTGATGCCTACCGTCTGTGCTTCTCTACATCTTGCGCTCCACTAAACAGGAGCTGATGGAAATCTTTCCACATCTTCTGGTAGAGCTCTAACTCATCTTTTTTTAAACAGCTATGCTAATATCCAAATTAAGAATGTATCCTAGTTTATTCAGCCTCTAATTACATACTGAAGGGCATCTGTGCGGTTGCCTACTTTGGACCACTAACTGGAGTAGTGCACCAGCAATCTTTCATGCATGTCCTTGTGCTGGCACTTGTGTTTCTTTGGGATGGATGCCTGCAGTGTGAGTGCTGAGTCTAGGCACATAGGACGGGGCTTCAGAAGTTTCTCGGAAATGGCTTACCACGGAATGGTCAGTCATGCAAAATCAAAAGGGCAAAATGTGCCTAAGGACAAAGTTGAGATAAGATAGGAAGGTTGGGAAAAATTATTTATGGAAAAATGGAATTATAAAATAATAGAATTGTTCCACAAGCTTTTTAAAGCCCCTCTAATGTGTTTCGAACCTTAAGGTCAGCGGTTCGAAACTACCAGCTGCTCCGCGGGAGAAAGATGAGGCTTTCTACTCCCGTAAAGATTTACACCCTCGGAAACCCTATACAGGGTCGCTATGGGTCGGAACCGACTCGATGGCACATAACAACAACAACAAATGTGTTTTTAATTGTAATTAAAATGTCCAGATTGCTTTCCGAAAAAGCAATTGCATTATAGGTTTCATGTAGTAATTTTTGAGAGACACAGAGGCAGTTGTTTGAACAGAACAAGGGGATACTGACTGCATGGTTTAAACAGAGAAAAGTGTGTGTCAGGGTTGTATCCTGTCACCATATGTCTGTGTGCTGAGCAAGTAATTCGAGAAGCTAGACTATATGAATTCCCATCAGCAGCGGAGATTCTCTGTGTGTGAGTTTTTTGACAGTTTGTTGCTGTAAAGTTTAATTCCTCTTGTGTTTACTATCAATGAGCATTTGTTACGCAGCTGGATTGTTCTTTTGTGAATTGTGTTTTCAGGACTTTGATCCTTTATTCTCTTTAGTTATTTGTCCTTTCGTTGTTGTTGTTAATTGCTAAGAACCTTTTGTACGTTTTAGATACTAACCCTCTCACCTGTTTATACAAATTTGTTGTGTCCTTGGACATTATGTTATATTTAACACGGTAAAAGTTTAAAATTTTTGTATACAAATATATGTTTTGTTTCTGGGTTTTTAGTTTGGTTATACTGGTACTTGAAAAGTAGATAGTAAAAGTACATTTATTTCTTAAACATGTTTTATTAGAGTCCTACCCTCTACTTCAAAGGCGCCCTAGTTGCACAATGGTTAAGTGCTTTGCTGCTAACCATAAGGTTGCTGGTTCCAACCCAGGCAGTGGCTCTTTCTTTGGAAGAAAGACCTGGCAGTCTGCCTCCATAGGCCAGAAAGCCCTCTGGGACAGTTCTCTTCTCTCTTCTGTCACGTGTGCCTATCCCAGGGAGGCAGGATCTAAAGAGTGCTTTCACTTCTGTCTCTACTTCCCTCTTGTCTCCCACCCTTCATGTGTGTCCCATCCTTCGCACATATGTGATCCTTGGTCCACTGACTTCTGCACTCTGACCACACCCTCCCTCCTGTTCCTGCTCAGAGGTGACTTGGCATTCTTAGATCCCAGTTGTTCTTCCGTACTTGTTCCTGTTCCCACAGTTTGCAGGTGACACTACTGTCATCTTCTTACTAGGTAATTAATTTCTTTCTTTCAATGTTTGAAAGGTTGTTCTCTTTATCTTTACAGGTTAGGTATTTACTAGACTGTATATTTCTCATTAGCCCTGCCTGGGAATCTGTAACTGAGGTTTTTCATCGCAAGGAATAATTTTTCTGTGATTTTTCTTCTCCATCAATTCCTCTTTATCCTCTGGTGCTTTGGTTATTTTCATGTTAGGTCATTTGGGTCCATCCTCGGAATCTTTTGTCTCTCATAACTTGCAACTCTTTGTTTACACTTTAGGTGTTGAGATCTATTTCTCACCTGAACTCCCTCCCAGGTTAGTAACTGTCCTACAGCGCCACACCAGCCCTCCTTGCTGTCACACAGGATAGCGCTGTTGAATATGTGTCTCCTTGTATACATTGTTTTCCTGTGCTTACGGATGATTCTGCTTTTTAAACAGCTTTCTTAAATGATTTTTTAGTGCCCAAAGTCATTTCTTGCTTGTCAGAAACGTGATTTGTAATTACCCATGGAGAATATGCAACCATTAAGTGTAATTTTTCTCAAAGGAAAATTACCAGCTTATTTTGTAGCACCTATATTTTTAAGGACTTCTAGTTTGGCGCTGTAGGATAAGCACAGGACTGCAAGGTCAGTTTAAACCACAAGGTTGGCAGTTTAAAACTCTCCAATCGCTTCTGGGAAAGCCCTATACTGGGTCGCCATGAATTGGAACTGACTCAAACTTTAAAATATGTTGTTGTTATGTTGTTATTTAAATATTAAACATATTTAAATATGTTTAAAGTTTTCCTGAAGGTTGTTAGTTTTAACTTTCCTAATATTCATTAGTGTTCTGTAATTCTCCTGCAGGAAATGAATGTTCCATTGAACAGATGGAACATGTTCGGGGAATGCAGGAGAAATTAGCTCGTCTGAATTTGGAGCTCTATGGGGAACTAGAGGAGCTTCCTGAAGATAAGAGAAAAGCAGCCAGTGACTCCAATCTGGACAGGCTTCTGTCCGATGTGAGTAGAGCTCTTTAATCTCTAAAAACCTTTGTTTATTGAGGTACAATTTACATAATGTAAAATTCTTCATTTAAATTTCCATTGCGTACAATACAATTCAGTGGTTTATAGTATATTTACAGTGTTGTGTAGCCATCATCATGGCTTACAGAAAGAACATTTCCCATAACCCCCAAAGAAGCTCTCTTATCTCCCTAGCTCCCTCTTCCCCCAGCCCCTGACAACTGTCTTAATGGATTTACCTAATCTGGAAATTTCATAAAAATGGAATGATACAATGTATAGCCTTTTGTGTCTAGCTTCTTTTACATAGCATTATGCTTTCATGGTTCATCCATGTTGTACAAGTTTTAAATATGTGTATTCCAAAGGAGTTATTATGTTTAGATCTGAGCATGTGCTCTGAGAATTTTGGCAAATCTAAAAGTGAAGTATTTGTTTATGTACATATAAAATCTTAAGATATAAAAGACAGTGTGTCAAAAGACCTTTCCAGACAGAATGGATACATTTTGTGTTATTTATTTAGGTTGTGACTGATTATTTCTAGATATATAGAACTATGCTGTTTGTGGTAAATGACACATTGTCATGTATGATTCTCGTAACATGAAGTGCTCATTGAATTTAAGTTATTTTGGAATAAAACTAAATTAAAATCGAATTAAACATACTTTTGTTTCATATTTCATATTCACCAATGACAAGAAGGGTTAATTTTCTTGTACTATTTATTCTCTTTTAAATAAGTAAATATGAAGGGAATTATAATGCCCATACATTAAAATTTTCAAGTTTCTATGTTTCAAGTCTACTGTCCTTATACCAGTTCATGTGCCTCTTTTTTTTTAACAGATATAAGCTTAATTTGCCTTACATTTAGGAGATTAAAATGGTGAGAAGAACGCCAAATTTGAAACTAGAAGCTTTTTAAAGTTCTCCATTTGTGTAAAATCGGGCAATTTAGTTAACATTTCTGTAGCTCAGCTTTTCCCTCTGTAAAATAGAAGTGATAAATAAGACCTCATACTGAAGACTGAATGAAATGTTCTTGAATCCACAAATGGTTTAAAGATTTTGATCATTCAAATGTCAATTTAAAAAATGACTAGGTATATTTTAAAAGTATTACTAGGTATATTTTTAAATTATTCATGATTTTGAGAATATTTTTTAAATACTAGTTTTTAGCAACTGATTTAATTCTTCCATAATATTCCTGTTTAATAGTTGATAGAGCTGCTTTATAATGATTTAAGTGAATTTCCCAAACTGTAAATGTTTCAGAAGGCTACTTTTCAGTATTTTTCTTTTATATTTCAAGAGAAGTTAACTGGCAAAAAACCAAAACCCTATAATTTAAAAATGTAAAGTTAACAATTATCTACTTGTGATCATTATCTTATAAAAATTTAAATTGTTTTTGTGTGTTTGTGTTACAGTTAGAAGAACTGAATTCTTCCATGTATCCTTTACTTACTATCAACAGTGAAACATGTCTGACTTACCATTTCTGGGGAACACCAATCAAGTTTTAGACAGATCTGTTATTCAGATGGAATGAACAAAGATGCATAATCACTCTTGTCACTAAACCCACTGCCATCAAGTCCGTTCTGACTTGTTGCCATCTTGCACAGGGTTTACTCAAGCAGAAACCTCATCTTTTTCTGTGGAATGGGTTGTTGTTGTTGTTGTTATGTGCCGTGGAGTCGGTTCCGACTCATAGCAACCCTGTGTAGGGTTTCCAAGGCTGTAAATCTTTACGGGAGCAGAAAGCCTCATCTTTCTCTCGCGGAACGGCTGGGAGTTTTGCTGACCTTGTGGTTAGCAGTCCAATGCTTATCTTACAATGCCACCAGGTCCCCTTTACTGTTACCTGGGGCTACTTCTCTTCTTTTTTAGATTTCCAAGTAGAATTTTCTAACTAGATACTAAAATTTTGTTTCTGGTTTGTTTTGTCTAGTTTTGGGATTTTGCAAAACAAACTTGTTTTTTAATCAGGAGAATTGAGCACTAGGACTAGTTGTCATATAAATTATTTTTCATCTTAGATTCATGACATTCTGTACATCATTCAGTACGACTATGCAGAATTTTTAGATGCATAAATTTGAATAATATCATTAAAATGCAGCCTGTTTTCAAGGGATGCATGGATAGCTTATGAAATGAATTTTTCTAACTCAGTGAAGACATTGCCCATGTCTGTAACCCCTATGATGCATGTATTACTTAGCAGTTAGTCACCCTCAGTGTCTCCACACTGGTGTTGGAATTAGGTCTGAAAATACGGGTACCAGCAAATGGGTCTCTATGGACAAAGAGGAGAAAGGCAGGCAGTGGTGAAGAGAAAGCAAGAGAGTACCATGAGCGAGTGATTCCATCCTAGTTCCAGTCTTCCCTGGAATGGTGACAAGCACAGTGTACAAAAGGCTTTACAGCTAGTACTGTTTTATTTTTTGCCTTTTCAAAGAAACTTTTCCCCAAAGGTGATTAAATAATATCTTCTACTCACATGCATTTCTTAGAAATCCAGTAAATCTTTTCATATTTGCCTCTAGTTCCATTCCCTACTATGAAAATAATTCTCACAACCTTAATATAATTCTGTGATCTGTTGGTACACGCAGCATAGGCTAATTCCGTGATTTAAAAAAAAAAAAAAAAAAGTCTCTTCAAATTCTAGACATATATAGTGACTTCATTCACTGCATTTCGAAAGTTGTCATACCAGGTTTTAAGTTTCTCAGCAGCAACACAGGGTCTTTTCATTTGAGTTTTATCCACGTATTTCTTTCTCTCAATACCTCTATTTCTGAGCTCCGAAGGATAATTTCTAGAAAAATTTTTGTAATTACTCATTATAGAATGAAATTTTTCTTAACTCATGAATTCAGACAAAAACTCCATTTGGCAGATGCGCAAGAGGTTCCGAATGCTTCTACCAGCTAAAACGAAACAAGAGTTTGCTTTCTTGTGATCTGAAGAAAAGCAGCATTCTTTACTTTTCCAGCTGATTCCAGTAGCCAAATTATCTTCTACCGGAAGAAATTAAAGTGAAGTGCAATTGCAATGATTGTTTTTACATTCTGCTTTCAGTGTATTTGACTTGCTATAACTCACCACAACTGGAGGCCAAAGCCTTGTTGAAGGTTTAATCAGGAAGAGGGGTGCAAAGGTTGTGCTGCTCTGCTTTATATCGTTGCCTTATGGGGTTATACTTGAAATGCGTTGTGCTAAATGTCATTGACAGGGCTGGAGGACTTAGCCTTCCCCAGCTCACCCAACTGATTGTGACGTGGACCATAAGTTGATGGTACATATAGGCTTCTTGTGGCAGCTTACTTCAGTTTCCTTTGACAATCAGCACATACACACTTTGGTGTATTTTTCAGTGGCCAGTGATGACAAATAAGTATATGTGAAATTTGCTATTTTTAATAAAGTGATTGTTTTAAATTAATCTTTGTCATGTTTGTTCTTCAATATGGGAATACAAAGGTTCAGTCCTTAAAATTAAGCTGTGCTTACTAACTTTGAGATTCTGAAACAAACTTCCTTGTAAATGTTGTACATTACATTGTACACAGTTAAATACTACTGTGATGAAAAAAGAACATGAGCTTTATAGTTACTTTGATATTAATCCCTGTTCTTCCCCTTAGCTCTGTGCTCCTGGACTCAGTTTTTTCCAAGTCGTCATTCTTTTTAAAATCTAGAAAATGAGGTTTATAACTACCTCATAGCAGTCCTTAGAACTTCTGGTGTGGCACTGTAGGATCAGCACTGGACTGTGAACCACAAGGTCTACGGTTCAAACCCACCACTTCCTCTTCAGAAACCTGTACAGAATTACTATGGGTCAGAATTGACTCGACAACACTAAACAACAACAAACAATATGCTTGTGAGACCCAGGCTGACCTTCTGTAAGGTGTCTTATCTTAAATCATCTTTTCTAAAATGCTTTATGGAGACACACTTAATATATCCTAAAATTCACCCTTTTAACGTTTTCAGTACGTGCACAGAGCTGTCCAATCAGCAACACTATCTAGTGCCAGACCGTTTTCATCACACCCCGCCCACCCCCCAAAAAACCATTAGCAATCACTGCCCACACCCCATCCCCAAGCAACCATTAAGCTACTTCCTGCCTATGTGGAGTTGACCGATTTAGACATTTTATATAAACATAATCTCATATAATATGTGGTATTTTGTGACTGGCTTCTTGCACTTCACAGAATGTTTTTGAGATTCACCCATGATGTGTCATATGAGTACTTCTATTCTTTTTTATGGCCGAATGGTGTTCCACTGTATAGCTATAGCACATGCTGTGTATCCATGTGTAGCTCATTCACCATTACAGAGGAGGCCCAGGCTTCTACCATGTTGGTTCTAGGCCACGGAAACAAGTGTCTAATTGGGGATAGGGAGTATAGTTAGGACCCACTGAATGATACTGATTTTAGTCATTCTGAATTCAAATAATCCTGATAGTTTTATCTAATTGGTCTTTTAAATGCCCCCTTTAAGAATGAAAAATCATCAAAATAATATTGCAGCATTTGAAACTTTCAGTTGGGTGGAGAGAGTACAGGTTTATGGGGGAAATAGTGTTGTAGTATCTGGCAGAGCGAAAGGGCACTGCCACGTGATGTTTTTATTAGGTGGGTCATGAGAGACTGAAGCAAAAACCGCTTGCTGCAGATTAGTGACAGAGTAGCGGATTGACCTTGTTTATTCAGTTGATTTATTTGTCTGTCACATGTAGTAACATGTTAGCTTAATTTTCATCTTCATTCACCTTAAAGGTATGCTAAAGGCCACCACTCATCTGTTAGTTTGTCTTACTGGGGTGACTTGTGAGTTGCTGTGATTCTGAAAGCTATGTCGATGGTATTTTAAATACCAGCAGGGTCACCCATGGTGGACAGGTTTCAGATGAGCTTCCAGACAAAGACAGACTAGGAAGATGGAGTGACGAACTACTTCCGAATATTTAATCACTGAAAACCTTATGAATAGCAGAGAAACACTGTCAGATACAGTGCCGGAAAATGAGCTCCTCAGGTTGGAAGGCACTCAAAATGCGACTGAAGAAGAGCTGTCTCCTCAAAGTAGAGTTGACCGTGATAATGCGAATGAAGTAAAGCTCGTGGGAGAAAAGTCCTTGGGATGTTCACTTGCTGATGGGGCACAACGCAAACTGAAGAGAAACAACTGTAAACGTCCATTGAAAATCGGAACATGGAATGTACAAAGTATGAATCTGGGAAAATTGGAAGTTGTCAAAAATGAAATGGAACACATAAACATCGATATCTTAGGCAGTAAACTGAAATGGACTGGTATTGGCCATTGGGAATCTGACAACCACATGGTTTACTATGCTGGGAATGACAAATTGAAGATGAGTGGTTTTGCATTCATTGTCAAAAACAACATATCCAGATCAGTCATGAGGTACAACACTGTCTGTGATAGGATAATATCCATGTGCCTACAGGGAAACCCAGTTAATATCACTATTATTCAAATTTAAGCACCAACCACTAAAGTCAGTGAGGATGAAATAGAAGAATTCTACCAACTTCTTCAATCTGAAATTGATCAAACATGCAATCAAGATATATTGATCATTACTGGTGATTGGAATGCAAAGGTTGGGAGCAAAGAGGAAGGATCAGTAATTGGAAAATATGGCCTTGGTAATAGAAATGATGCTGGAGA